TGACTAATTTTGGACACAGTTATACTCTGGTTTGGAGTAGCAGTCACATAGAATGCCGGCAAGCTGGTGCCCTATGTAACAACAGTGTTGCTGACTCCAGCTGCAGCGTGTTGATTACCCAGGCTGTTGGCACTGGCTCAGTGACATGAGGAGTTGACATCTGAACTGCACTGGGAACAACAGCACATGAGTTAATCATAACTAGTTGGAGGTTCAGGATAGCGGCAGTGTTATGCGCCGTTGCAGAAGCAACAAGTGGGACAGCATTCACCACACTTATTGGCGAAATTGATCTACCAGGCTGTAGTGCAACTTTCATGATGGCTGCTACACTGTGTCTTGAGTAGCCTGCTTGAGACTGCAACACTTGAGAAGCAGAGCTGACTGGCGTGCTAACAGACTGTAACGGTTGCTGTGTTACAAAATAGGGCACGTTATTTCCAAACTGTACAACAGGGGGATTAAAGAATGGATTAGGATTCGACAAACTGCTAAAGTTTCCCTGTGGCTGGTTTAACTCAAGTTGGCCAAGGTTGTATGCTCTATCCTGCACAACAGTTGTTGTCGGGACTTGAAACATGGGACATGTTGTAACTGGAGTAAGAACAGACGCGGTGCTACTTGCTGCAGAAATTGGATTAGTTGTTATAATAAAAGAGGCTGCATAAGCAATTGATTCTCTCTTCGTTTGCTCCTTCGTGACACAAGCCGAATTGATGGGCAAATGAATTAAGCACAGCAGTGGTTGCAGTAGTGGGCTGAGTCGCATTTCTGGTCACTGTTGTTTGGCTTGTAACCTGTAGTGGTCTTGACGCAGTTGTCTCTGCTGCAGTCAGTGATTCCCTCGATTTTGGGACTGTCGTCGTCATAGCAATAGCATCATCAGCTGTATCTGTGTTGACTGTCCCAGATGAGGTAGAATCTGTTGTTGTTGCTGTTGTTGTTGTTGTGGGGATCTTTCTTGGAATAGCTATGCTATTTTTCTTTAATAAATCTCTCAACAGCTTGTTTTCTTTAGTAGCTGTTCCAAGTCGAGTTTTCAATAGCTGAATTTCTTGAGCTAGAAGAGAAAGAAAATTATGGGAAACAATAAACGACATCACAGGTAGAGATGACCGAGAGGTTTGGGCTCAATGGCAATATGTATGGGGGTGCTGACAAGAAGAATGCGGGAAGCGCTGTGACTTCATGGTTTTTGCGCTCGTCTCCAGATCGAGCGGTCCGGGCTGGGATCATTGCATTGTGTTCTTGGGTAAGACACTTTCCTCTCACAGTGCCTTTCTTTAGAAAAGTAATTAAACATCACGGACTAGGAAGACATCATGAGGTTCCTGCGGACAATTCTGAGATTCGACTTCGCGTTTACTCACTTTTGAAATTCTCGAAAAAAAGGAAGGACAAGAGAATTAGCACAAAAAAAAAAGGGTTTGTTACAGGTAAGTTACAATGTGGTAGGCCATTTCCAAGTTACCCTGAAAACATACAGACCTTCTACCGCCAACAAGAACCTATTTTATTCACATCATAAACACGCAAAAAAGAACTTGCCCAATATCAAGCCATCTTGACCTCACGCTTGATCAATAACCCATATTTATAAAGGGGTGGAGTAACTTAAATTAGGGGTGGAAGATGGGGGACAAAGAAGTCTGCATAATATTTGTGGTTGTATAAAAGTCTGAATTTATGTAAAGAGCGCTAATGAAATTTCACCTTGGCGTTAGGCCCGTTATTTCCTCTCTTTCCATAGAAGGTAGACAATACTGAGAATTCAAAGCAATGTCTGTCTTTTTTTGCTCCACTCTTTTCTCTTTTCTCCCTTGTTTTTCTTTTCATCACGCTTGATGATTTTTAGGTCTTTAGGAGCCTTGAGCTTAATGTTACTGAAACTAAAGGCCATTGACTGGTCTCCTGTCCTTGCTGAAGATGATGTCATCACCATCGTTAATAACACGTTTTATTGCATTGTCTACAAAGGTTGTGTTTTCACCAGTACAATTTTGGCTAGGTAAAGTCGAAAAAGTCCGAAAATTTAGTGAAAACAGCTCGGCTTGAGTTGAGGTCATTCCTCACATTTGCATTGCGCATCCTTACTGCGCATAATTTATGGCGTCATTAGCGCGCGC